TCATAAAATGTAGAAACACTAGCTAAACACCTTGATATTGGCCTTAAACCTATCTAAAAAACCGTTAACACAATCAAAAAATTCGAAAATCTGCAGTTTTTTTTTGCCACAGTCACAAATCACAAAAGCATGCAATAAATTAACAATTAAACAATAATAATTCAGCAAAAGTCCATAAATGAACATGACGAAGAATTGACAGCATAATTGAATTCAACAATTCGCAATGTAAAAATTAGATATGTGTGTGTCTATGTGTATATAAATAATTTGCAGCATTGTGGCTAAAATGTGGAGCACGTGTTTGGCTGCCATGCAGTTTTTCACTCTGGACATGACAAAATATTGATTAAATGATTTATTCTGCGGCCAGTTGCCGCCAGACAACGTTGCGTATGCGCAATGTGCGGATTGCCAAAGAAACTCGCGCCAACGCGGTCAATCAATTATCATAAATCTCCAATCAGCAACAAAAAAAATTGTTCAGATACCAAAAAAAAATAAGCCAAAAAAAAATGTGTTTAAATTATTATAACGAAGTGTAAATACTTCATAAGAATGCCGGGCAGATATTTGGAAATGTGAAATAGTAAAACAAAAAATTTAAAAACATTTTCTAGAAATGTATTTTAAAAAAAAAGAAAGAAATGTTTTAATTTTTGAAAATAATGTTCATATGAAAAGAAAATAATTATTTTTCAATTTTCAATAAGACATTATTACTTTATATTTTTGGTAATTAATAGAGGAGAATCCTATAAATTAAATTTTAATAACGTTTTTCAAAGTCTGGCAACACTTAGCTTCGCCTAAATACCTTTGTCGAAACCTGGCAACGTTCGATCATATCAAAAAACATACTTCGATTACATCTATTTGAATATGAACATTTGAATGAGTCAGGCTCATTAGAGCGTAACACATAATAATGGAAATAGTACGCAATGATAAAATAAAATAAATGAAAAGTTCGGAAAGAGCATACGCAATAGATTAGGCGTAGCACCCCATTTAAGTAAGGGCATTTACTACATATTAGTTGCAGATATCAAACGGCAATTAAGCCTCTGTAGGCAAGCGCGATAACAATCTTGTGGCAATGCGCTGACCGCCGATTGAGTGACTTACTGTGTGAATGACTGAATGACTGACAGACTGACTGACTGACTGACTGAGTGAGTGAGTGAGCAGCTCTGCCTTGACAAGATTTATGTGTAAGTTGACATTTGAAATGTCAAAATGCAAGTTGGCCAACGGCAACGGCAGCCACAATTGCAGCTTGTAACTGCAGGCGTAATGCGTTAACAGCATTTGATTTTGTTTTTGTTGTTGTTAATGTTTCGTTAGCCGCCCACCGTTGACCCACATAAAAAAAAAGAGAGGCATAGAGAGAAAAGAGCAGGCGTGCTGGCTATCGACCTCCCGGCTGGGTTTTCGCTGTCTTTTAATAGCCTCACGTAGCTAGCGCTCGAAATTTCGTAGTTAATTAACCCGTTTGCATACATTTTGTCTCGGCCAGGCATTGCGACTGGTCCTGCCAGCCGCAGCTTCAACCAGTCGCTCCAGTCCCAGTCCCAGTCGCAGTTCCCAATTTCAATCCCCACCTTCCACTCCCACTTCCATTGCCGAGCATTATTTATGCTTTCTTTGATCGAATTCGGCGCTGGAGCGTCATAATAGTCACAATTCTCGAGTCTCTCGATTGTTTTCGTGCGCCCCATAAATTAATCGAATGTTAACTCTGTACAGGTAATTGCCTTTGACTTGTGTGTACCTTGTTAGACTCTGAGATACCCTGTAGCGTACCGTGAAACCAACTACTAATTGCGTAAAGTTAACCTTTAACCGAATGTAAACAGTCGAGCCTTAAGTATTCTAAGAGAACATTTTTTAATGTCAAGTATACATTCTATTTTATAATTTAAACAAATTTAAAGAGGCCTCAATTGTTTCTTGAGTCTGTATAAATGATGTCGCATATAACTTCTGCTCAATAATAAATTATGGTAACTCGCTATACTTTAAAAAAGTCGCCTTCTTTCGTTGTTGCGCAGGGTAACATTTGATTACAGGGTATCTGCCAATTATGGCATTTTGTTTGTTATAATAGACGGTTGCCAATGTTGAGTTTACGGCGCTCCCAAAGTCACACCAGTCGTTGAAGTGGCCACATAAACTACAAAAACAGACTTAATTAAATTCGCTAGCAGAAGATGGGTTTATTCTGGAGATGAGAATATCAGAATATAAAAAAGTTCTCAAAGTTTTATAAACAATTTAAGACTTTAAGAGGGTTACGTGCTTAAAATGTAACGCTCAACTGTTCAGATAACTCGATTAAATCATATTATATGTCCGCCTTTGTGTTTGCTCGAAAAAGTGAATTTGTGTAAACAGGAGCCTGAATTTAAAGCATTTCATTTTATGGGCAACTACTGGATTTTCTTAAAAACCATCTCAGATGAAAGTTCGATTAATTTTATTTGCTCAACTGAGCTCGCTAAATCCGTACACAATACAAAAATGTATGCTCGCCATAAACTGTCATATATATTATGGATTTTTCGTATGATTTTGCTTGACCATCTAAATTTGAGTATTTTCCCATTCATGTATTTACGGCTGTCATGTTGCGGCACATTTATAAGACACACTTAATCCGTATGTCTCCATTACGGAGGCACGCAAAAATCGTGAAAATCGTGAAAATGATAGAGTTTATGCGACCATATCCATAGACATCGTTAAGACGTCTCGACATCTGAATTATGGACAGCATTATTTTTGCTCGACTATTTGTAGTTTACAGTCTTGAGCGTTTTTTTTTTTTTAAGAGTCTGGCATTTTGAGGATTGGAGTCACGAGTGTTGGCTCTTGGCGTTGCAGTTGGTCCCAAGACAAGTGGCATGCCACACGCTGTCCGTGCCATAAAAAATCATATGCAAATTTGTTTATGCCACGTAATGCGAGCGCATTAACCGGCATCAACTTTGGTATTAAACAACGAGTTTCGTTTTGAGAATTTTGAAAGCCATTGATAATACACATTTGTTATAGCTTGGGCTAACAAAATTTCGAAGCGCTTTGACCTTTCGCAGTGCTTGTCAAACTGCGCCAAATGATGAATTGCCGCAGCGCTAATGAATGGCACATTAATTTGCATTTAAATGCAGCAAAACATTTTGTTTTTTATTTTTTTCTTTCGATTTTTTTCTGCATTTTTACAGTTTGTCATTGAATAATGAGACATGCGGCCAGTTTTTCCCCTCAAAATTCACACAAATTTTCAGGTAAATGTTAAATGTTTTGGCCAGGAAACATAAATTACAAACGCGACAAAATAGATTGGTTTAAAGCTGCAGCAGCCACTCTCGAAATATGAGAAAAACATTTTGTAAATGTCACATTCACATGCTGAAAACCATGTGCCAAATTTCTGGCGCGCCCCCAATCAAAAAAATATTATTAATATTTATACATTTTTTTTTCTTTTGGTTTTTCTTCTTTTATTTTTTTTTTTGTTTTTTTGCACAGCGTTGGCGTCATTTTCAAATTTTTCTGTTGACAGTTTCTAAATATTTTTATGCGTGCAAAATTTATGCACATTTATCAAAGTTGCAAATTGAAAGCGTTTTTTTTTTTTTGCGGCACATCAACCGAAGAGCTGGCAAATTATTTTGCAAGTGTTTTGGTAGTTTTTTGGTTTTTAATGGCCGCTTTTATAGCTGCTAATGTTGACTACATGGATCGTTTAGATCGTTTAGATTTATGCCGATTGTACGGCGCGTATTTTAAGTGCTGCCTTTTTTATACCCTGAACCCATTAAAAATGGGTATAAGGGTATATTGTATTTGTGCAAAATCCAAATGTATGTAACAGGCAGAAGAAAGCGTCTCCGACCCCATAAAGTATATATATTCTTGATCAGCATCAATAGCCGAGTCGATCTAGCCATGTCCGTCTGTCTGTCCGTCCGTCTCAAAAGGATCTCAGAACCTATAAGAGCTAGAGACTTGAAATTGTAGATGTAGGTGCTCCCAGAGCCCGCGCAGATCGATAGTCGATAACTTATTCCGTTTCCAAGAAATCGATAAAAATCGATATCGATATCCTGTTTTTTTTGGCAATTTTGGTAAATAATAAGAGCTAGAGTCACCAACCTTGACATATAGCTTCTAAACTAGAATATGTATATGCATTTTATGTTGGAAGAAGAGGGTTCAGGGTTTCCCCTAGTCGGGAGCTCCCGACTAGAACCTTTTACTTGTTTTCTATTGTGCGACGTGCCGCCGTCTTTTATCTGTTGCCAGAAATCAAATCATCCCAAATTCACAGCTTTGAAATTAAATACTCTTAGGCTTGTTTAATTTCATGTATGCAATTTTGTGGCATTCACGAATTTACAAGTTGGTACGAGTTTGTGACTTTAACTAGCCGAAACGGGTGTTATCAGAGACTTAAAATTATTTATGATTTACAAGATGTTTCTTGTAACTCACAGAGCAAACTTTTGCTTTTAAAAAGTTGATTTCGTTTTTGATATTTGATTATTTAATGATAAATAAAATGTTTAAGTTTTGGTGAATTCACAAGGATTATGTCTTAAATATGATAGCAAACGAAAGGAAATTACGACCCAATATTGTACTTTTGCATTCAATTTTCTGAGATTGATAAAACTTTGGTTAAAAAATGAAAATTTCATATATCGAATGAAACTAGCAACAAAATATGCAGCATTTCTCACGTATTTTTCAACCTCAAAGGTGGAATTGCTAGGGTGGAATAACTCTAGTTATAAGGGACTTTGAAAAGGTCACAAGGAAGGCCCAGCTTATATGGCTGGTAATTAAAGCACATGAATAATAATCAAATAATTGATAAGTGTAAATAGTTTATTACCCATTTAATTTTCCTCTGGGTATACTTAATTCTCTACCAAATTCATTATGTACTTACCCAAGTTAATTCAAACTTTCTTTCAATATACTTTTTGCAGATTGCCAATGCAGTCCGGTTGGTTCGCTGTCGACGGCATGCGACAAACGCTCGGGCCAATGCTCCTGCCTGCTGAATGTGGCGGGTCGGCGCTGCGACAAGTGCAAGGCGGGTCACTGGAATCTCACACAGGGCGTGGGCTGTCACGACTGCCAATGCGATCCGCACGGCGCACGCAGTCACGAGTGCAATCCGTGGACGGGTCAATGTGACTGCAAAATTGGGGTCGGCGGGCGGCATTGCAACGAGTGCACCGAGGGCTTCTTTGGCTTTAGCACAGAGGGCTGCCAGCGCTGTGCCGCATGCGCGGCAGAGGGTCAAGTCTGTGATCCGCTCAATGGACGCTGCATTTGTCCGAAATTCACGCGCGGCTTGGGCTGCGCCCAGTGCGTGCCTGGCACCTGGGGCTGGCAGGCGCGTCTGGGCTGTCGTGAATGCGAATGCGATCACATTGGCTCCATTGGCCAGCAATGCGCCGCAGTCGGCGGTCAGTGCCAGTGCCGCGAGGGCTATGCGGGCCGCAACTGCAACAGCTGCGCCATTGGCTACTTTGGCTATCCCGAGTGCCGACGCTGCGGCTGCGATGCGGCGGGCTCCTTTACGCGCGCCGACGGCTTCATAGCCTGCGACTCCAATGGCCAGTGCCCGTGCAAATCGCTCGTGGTGGGTCTCAAGTGCGATACGTGCATGCAGAGCACATTCGGTTTGTCCGCACTCAATCCTGAGGGCTGCACACGCTGCTTTTGCTTTGGACGCGCCGCCGAGTGTGAGCAGAGCGAACTCTCCTGGGGTCACATACGCATGCCGGAGTCGCGCAATCTCAGCGTGCAACAGCTGCGACCGCAGCATGTCACCAGCGGCGACTTCGAGTACATTGTCGTGGTGCAGATGGCGGGCAGCGTCTCCTATCGCGAGGATGCCGAAATTCAGCGCATGAACGATCTCAGCCTGGTGCCGCGCTCCACGGGCAACGTATCCATTGGCGCCTATGCGCAGTTCTATCAGCCGCTCTACTTTCAGCTGCCGCCCCAGTTCTATGGCGATCGCACCACCAGCTACGGCGGCTATCTATACTTTTCGCTGCTAACCGAGGGCGCGCACACGCCGCTGGAGCGGAAGGTGCTGGCGCAGTATCCGCTGGTGCAGCTGCATGCGCACGCCAAGCTGGTGTTGGATTTTTACGAGTACGAGGAATACGAGTATTCGCTGAATGTGACGCATCGTGTGCCGCTGCATGAATCCTATTGGAAATATCATCACAATAGTCAGGCGGTGAATCGCGGCACGTTGATGGCGGCGCTGCAGAATGTGCGACACATATTTCTGCGCGCTTTTGCGTTTGCCGACTTTCAGCAAGTTGTGTAAGTCTCAATTTTCTTAAGCTTTCCTGTATGCTTACTACTTTTTTTCTTAGCCTACATAATGTGCACATGGATGCTGCCATATATGTGCAGGGCTCCACCAATCTCATAGCCAAGGGCGTGGAGCGCTGCAAGTGCCCCAAACGTTTCGATGGGCTGTCCTGTCAGGATCCGGGACGCTCGTTCTATCGCTGGCGCAACACAAGCGACGTGGAAAGTGTGTTTATTGAGGATCTGATTGGACGTGCTGCGCCGTGTCACTGCAATGGACGCAGCAATGATTGCGATCGCGAGACCGGCGTTTGTTTGGTAAGTAATCTTCTTTAATTTAGAAAAATAGACGCGCACTTCACCTCTGGCGCCAATTTTGGACTTTGCTGCCGCCATTTTCCAATAGGCTTATTGCTAGTGTTGAACAGGATTCTGGATTCTGTTCCCATTAGGCTTGGTATGCAGCCGACTTGTCCAATCAGCGCAAGCAAGCAACTGATTGCAGTTTAAATTTGATGCGCTTTTACTCAAAGCCGGAATATAAGCGCTTCTAAGCATCTCTTGCGATTGTTTGTAGCCGCATTGGCTAGCTTACTTTATCAGCAAGCAGCATACCAGTCCTTAGCAATTGCACTGCAGCACAATTTGATAACTGCGCAACACTGCAATTGGAATTTACAGCTATTTGTTTTAACTGAACATTTCTTGTTATTTTCTAGAATTGTCGCGAAAACAGCGGGGGCGCACACTGCCAGCAATGCGCCGAGGGCTACTACGGCGATCCGAATTCACGGCATGGCTGCCAGGCCTGCCCCTGTCCGGAGACCAATCGCAACTTTGCGCGCGGCTGCAATGTGTGGGAGGGCGAGGTGAGCTGCGTCTGCAAGCCCGGCTACACGGGACGACTATGCGAACGCTGTCGCCTGGGCTTCTTTGGCAATCCGATGCAATATCCCAATAGCAGCTGCCAGGCATGCAACTGCCATGCCGATGGCATACGCGCCGAGGGCTGTGATGCGGAGACGGGTCAGTGCTATTGCCGCGAAGGCGTCACGGGTCTAAAGTGCAATAAGTGCGTGGCACAGCGGCAGCATTTGCAGGAAAGCGGTTGCACGCGTAAGTCGACTATTGTATACCCCATATATGCTAGATAAACAATTGTCTATTACTCCCCATTTAGTCTGTGACAATTGCACGCTGCTGCTGCTGGACTATGTGGAGCTGGTGGGGCATAAGCTGCGCCGTGGTCTGCATAACATGGATCTGACGGGCATACCGGCTCCCTATTTAAAACTTAGCGAATACGAGCGCGCCTATGATAAATGGCGCGGTCGTCAGCAGGATTACAGTCAAGCCAGGCAGATGCTTCTGGGCTATGATACAGCAGCGCTGCTCAAACTGGACGCACATGCAGAGAATGGCAAATTTCAGTCGCGCAAGGCGCTGGCGACCATTGGCAAACGCCAGCTGGCGCTGCAGTCCATGCAGGACGCGGCTCTTGCACTGCAACAGGATGTACGCACTCTACACGCTGGGTTGATGCAAACGCTGTACGAATTACGCAACTATGGAATGGGTGCACAGCATCTGAGTCTGCCGACGGCGCTGCAGCAGGCGCGCTTCTATCTGCAGGCTATACAGCAGCATCATCAGCTGGTGCAGGACATACGCAGCACCAGCGACTGCGCCTGGCAACAGTACTATGTCACGGGCAATTCCTCCGATGCGGCGTACGATCAGCGTGCACGTCTCGAGATGCTCTGGCGTGATCTTAACCAAACCAATTATCGCGTGGCGGACATGCGACTGCACATCGATCGCACCCAGGATGTGGAGAACGAGGCGGACGATGTGCTCGAGCATGTGCGCAATCTAAGCGCTTATGTTGCCGAGCAGTATCAGCAACTGAAAGAGCTGGGCGGGCGCATCGAACAACAGCTTAATCATAGTCACACGACGCGTGGCGAGCAAATGCTGCAAGCAGCCAGGGAGAAGCAAATGCAGCTAAATGAGCAGCGGCAGCAGCTGTCTGCCATGGCTGCGCTGCTGAACGAAACGCTCGCGGATCAGGCGGAACTGCAGCGCGAGGTGCGCAAGCACTGGCTGCCCAAGGCGGAGAAGCATGCGGCACGCCTGCTCGAGCGCTCCAATGAGTATGCCAGGCAATTTCAGCCCACAAGAAATGCGGCACGCATTGCCATGCTGGCCAGGTGAGTGACGAATCTAGCACTAGCTCTGGCTTAGACTCACCCTGTCTTACTTGCAGCTCGGCACACAGCAACATTTCCACAGCCATTGCGGGCGCACGCCAGGCATCGTTGCTGTCCAAGGAACGCGTCCATGAGGCACAACGCACGCTTTATCCCAGCGATGGCAGCTCAATGATTGAGCGTGCCAAGCACTCGCTACAACGCTCCAAGCAGCTGCAACGTGAGGCACTGCAGCAAATGCAAAAATCCACGGTGCTCAAGGGTAAGCTGCAGCATCAGGAGCAACAAGTGGAGGGCATTAAACGCACAATCTTTGAGACGGGACAGCGCAGCAATAACATCACCAGCCAGCTGCAATTGCTGACGAACAGCTCGGCGCGTCGTCATGCCCAGGAAAGCATGGAGCTGGCGCAAAGGACAAGCGATGAGATGCATGCGGAGCTGCGCAAGGCACGCGAGATGCAGAAATCCATACAGCATATGCGCAAATCATTTGCCATGCTGGAACCAGACTGGGAGATCAAGCTGGGCATGGCCGAGGAGAACATTTCGCTAACCAAGACAAATTTGCGTTTCGCCAACGTTTCGCTCAGCTATGTGGAGCAGCAGGCCGCCAAGGAGCAGCAGGTGTTTGAACTCTGGAACAATAGCATGTCCCAGCAGCTGCAGCAGCTAAGAGATCAAATAGCCAAGGCCAGGCATGCAGCGGAAGCGGTAGGTGGCAATGAATAGCTGTAGTTGAAGTCGATTCAAGCATTTCTATCTCTCCTGTCAGATTGACGTCTCGCTGGAATCGCTGGGTCCCAAATGCAGTCGCACCTATTTGCCCGTTTCTTATGGCCTGAGCACATCCAATTCTCTGCGCTTGAGCTTTGCCCTGTCCAATCACATGGGAAACTCGCCCCTGCTGCATGTCCAGGGCAGCGAGGGACGGCACATCACGCTGGAGCTGTATAAGCGACGAGTGCGTCTGGTTTGGTATTTGGGCGGCAGCACAGCAACCATAACACACCCGCTTGAGGTGCAGACACGCGATCCCAAGTACGATGATGCCTGGTATCAGGTGGAGGCGAATCGCACGCTGAATTTGGGCAGCCTGCTGGTGCGTCGCATGAACAACTTTGGCGCCTTAATGCCGGGCTCGCCAGTCACGGGCTCCACGGATGCGGAGCACACGCGTTTCTATCAAACGCACGACGAGCGCATTTTGCTGGGCGGCCATGCGGCCAAGGAGCAAACTCCAGGTCTAAATGTGGTCGTGCATCAGGTGGAGGTGGACAATAAGCCGTTGGGTTTGTGGAATTTTATAGGCAGCGAGGGTCGCTGCGGTGGTGCCATGATTGGCGCCCGGGAATCATCCTCCTCCTCTGTGGCGCGTCATTTCAATGGCCTGGGCTATGCGCAGCTTAAGAAGACGCGTCCGCGTCCCTATCGCAAGAATCTGTTTGCCTTACAGATGACCTTCCGCACACTGGACGAGAATGCCTTGCTCTTCCTGGCGGTTGATGACAAGAACGTGAGCATCCTTAAACCTTAACCCCTCGAGCTTTTATTCTATAATTTGTGTTTCTCTAGAACCGCTCCGTGTCGGTCACATTGAGTCGCGGTCGCATCATGTTCCGCATTGACTATGGCGACGAGTCCAAGCTGGAGATTAATACAACCAAGAAGTACAACACAGGGCAGTGGATCAAAATCGAGGCGGCCAGAGAGTTCTCGACACGACGCAGCACGGAGAATGGTATGCTGCGCGTAAACAACGATCGTGCCATCTCCGGTGCACCCACATTGCCTGTGAAGAGTCACATGCTGCCCGATCTGTCCAAGGCGGTGTATTATCTGGGAGGCGTACCACCAGGTAAGCATTCCGGGATTTGTAGTAGCTGAGAAAACCTGTTAAGAAAACGCATTGTAAATAAATTAGAGGGGTCTAGTTGAAAGTGATCGACTAGGAGATGTCCTGCATATAGTACGTAACATTTAGTAGTATTAATAATTATAAGAGTTTCTATGGACAAGTAGACAGAAATCTAATCAAGGAAGAGCTGGCACTTCGTGCTTATCAAAAGTAAATATTCTTGATAGGGTCGAAGATATCTTCTACTCCTTCTGAAACTTCTCAATATGTAGTTGTAATTCTCACACGGTATAAGCGTTGACTAGTCGAAAAGTTTATTCTTCTTCTAGGCTAAAATAAAAAAAAAATTTATAATATTTGATTAATTATATTTAAAAGGCTTCACATCGGGCACAACCAAGGCGCCGGGCGCCGACAATCCTTTCCTTGGCTGCATGATGGATGTGCAGGTGAATGGCGAGACTTACGACCCGCTCGAAAGCTCCACATACTTTGGCGTAGAGTCCTCCTGCAAGGACATGATTACAAAGTATGCTTACATATTATTTAATTATAAAGAAAGCCCTAATTGTTTTGCTGATTAACAGAGCTGGCTTTTCCGGCAATGGTTACCTGGAGTTGCCATCGAAGTCGCTACGCAAACGCGCCAACACTGGACTTGTCTTCCGCACACTGCAAGCCGATTGCCTGCTGCTGCTGGCCGCCTATCCGCCTGAAGTGCTGACCGATTACGATGACAAAGATATTAAGGGCAACTATTCGATGAGTCTGGTCGATGGTCAGCTGCAGGTGTGGATTAATTCGGGACGCAGCTTCATTAAAATGTTCTCCAATGCAAGTCAGCTGAACGATGGAGAATTGCATGTCATCAATCTTATCAAGACTGGGCGTCGCCTGGAGCTGATGGTGGACGATGAACTGCAGGAGGTGCGCAGCCTGACGGGCACGCCCTCACTTGTCAGCCTGCCACAGGATGCTGGGGGACTATATATAGGCGGCGCACCACCTCATGAAATTTACACTCCCCTGGCGCCCACATTTGTGAAGCTCGAGGGCGCTGTCCGGGATGTGGTGTTCAATAATCGTACGATTAATTTTAATGATGCTTTGACCTTTGCCAATGTGCAGATTGGACGCAATGGTCCGGTCATGGGCAGCCTCAAGGGCGCCCTCTACGATGTGCTGCTCAAGACGGAGCCGATGATTGGCAAGAGTTTTACCGCCTCGCCGGAAGGCTGCAAGCGGGTGAGTTGTTGACATCAATTTGTGTAAAACATGGTCTGGGTTATTGAATTAAAGATTTCGGGTGCGACGGTTTCGCTGGAGATGTGCATGTTAATAGATTATGTGGCTACCTAACTCTCAACACTCTGATCAACTTAAATGTTTCTCTTTGTTTTTATAGGATTTTAGTTGCTAAGCAATTATGTCAAAAGCTGCTACGCAAAAAGTTTCAAGCGCTGCGCTGCAAGAAAAGCTCTTTTGTATACTAATTTCGCCTAAAAAAAATAAAAGCTTACTAAACATAGCTACTCAATGTGGTCTACATGTGGATTAATCATACAAGTCATCAAATATAACCTCAGATTTAACCAAAAGCTGCCATACGTTCGAGCTATCAAGCTTGACGGCGCGTAAGCGCCATATAAGCTAGTTTACAGAGCGAAACGCCTCCTTACAAAAGCTCTTGTAAGCTAGCTCATTTATATTTAAGATTTATTTGGAAGCTGGTTTACATGATTTAATTCCTTTCGAAAGTTTATTAAAGCTATTGTCAGCTGGCTAAATTGTTTTTAGCAATTATTGAGAAGCTAGAGAATAATATTCAGACATATAAGAAGATAATGGGTTTAAATAAATATCGTAGTCTGTTTTGAAGCTATTAAAGCTCATGTAAGCTGATTTTCAGCATGCAAAAGCTTTGATTGTGGATTAAAGGTAATAAAATACTATTCGGTTGATAGTATGTAAAAGCTTCAAGTCTGATTAAAGATTCTTATAAAGCTCTTGTAATCCAGCTTAATTCAATGTAAGAACTACACATAACTTTAAGTTTTTAAAAGCTCTGGGTCGCATCTGGATGTTAATTACATTTGACAACAACATACTTATGTAAATATTGCATATTTTCATATCACATCTTTTGTATATTATAAGCTTTAAAGCTCAAATATAGTCTATAAGCAACAATATCATCTAGGCCTATCTACATATCAATTTATATATATATATATATATAAATATATATATATATCTTCACAAACATTATTCACTCATCAACGCTTTGTGTACGTTTTTGCTTTCATCAATGTATCATACGAATAACTTTTTGCTTTCTTCAACTTGTTATCACATTTTGCGTATTGAATAAAAAAAGAACATTTTTTTAACCAAAATAAACCTAAAAGAAAATCATGCCAACGTTTTTATTTCTTAACCTCACTAAAAAACCAAAAAATAAATAAAAAGCGCACGCTGTGAAAGCTCGCTCACAAAAGCTCAGAACTAACACAAAGTCGTCGCGGTGAGTTAAGTTCCCATTTAAATAAATCTAGGGCTAGAATTAATCGAATTCATTTCTTACAGATTGGCAGCTACTCCTACGAACCGAATGCCTTCAAGTTTGGCGACGAGCTTTATAGCTATGCGCAGCTGAAGCTGCCGGAGCGACACTTTTGGCAGCGCAACTTTCAGCTGAGCTTTGATTTCCGCTCCTTCTATCCCAATGGCATGCTCTATTTGTCGCCGGGCAGCAAGGAGAAACCCAAGCATTATGTGGCCCTGCTCCTGAAGGATGGCCAACTGGTGTTGATTGTACGCGGACGACGGCGCGAGGAGCTGCTGCTCACGGCCAAGCTAAACGATGGTGAATGGCATCGTGTAACCATCAGCTGCCACGAGCGCAAGGTCACCCTGAGCGTTGAGATTGGACGCACGGATCAAAAGACCTCGGCGCAAATGAAGGTGCCCAAAAAAATAGGCGCCTCACAGCTGCTGCTGGTCGGTGGCCTGCCACAAGCTCCCGTCAAGGTGCCTTCGGAGCTGTACATGCGACTGGAGGCATTTAAAGGCTGTCTGCGTCGCGTGAATATTAACAATAGCACACAGGATCTGGCACGTCCGGGCAAGCATGCAAATGTGGGTCAATGTTTTCCAACCGTCGAGCGCGGCAGCTTCTTCCCAGGCGATGCCTATGCCATATACAGTGAGTCCATATATCATATACATATCAGTCCATAGAACATGGGCTTGTACATATTATTAGAGAGTTGAGTCGATATTTGCAAACATTGTCTCAGAAATGTTCATGTTTAATCTTGGGCACCTTACTTCATTTCATTCATATTTTTGCTTACAGAAAAAAACTTTCATGTGGCCAAATATCTGGAACTGGAAATGGAATTTCGGACCTCTGAGCTCTCCGGCATATTGCTGAGCGTTTCCGAGCCAAGCGGTTTTCCCGCACTCTCCCTGGAGCTTAGCAACGGCAATGTGAGCCTCAAAAGTTATCTCATTCAATTTAATTAGATCTAAATCAATTACTCGATTATAGATCGTTTTCTCTTGTGACCTGGGCGATGGTGTGCCATTCCGTGTGGAGTCCACGCTGCCGAGCAAATATGCGCTCTGCGACAACAAATGGCATAATATATCCGCGCTCTATGATGGCGAACAGATTGCGCTTAGAATTGACCAGCTGCCGGCCACGATCAGCATGTCAAATCAACGCAATGTGGGCAAAGTGCAAACACGTTCGCCCCTCTACATTGGCGGTCTGCCAGGTAGTTTTCAATTAATCCAAATCTTTGATTACCTTATGCTCATGCTTTGTCTATTTTTCAAATCCCACCGCCAGATGTTGCACCCAGCGGCTGTTTGCTGGCGCGTGATAATTTCAAGGGCTGCATACGCAATGTTTCTATACGCAACGAGAGACGCGATTGGATCGATATGGATGATCTGCACAATGTGCTGCTCAGCGAATGTCTCGTGTCCAGCGATGAGTAGCTACTGATTGCCGGGATGCTTTTTCTGGTTCCTGTTTGATGATGCCACACCAAAACTTTTTCCAAATGTATTGTGATCAATTATGAGTTTTATTTTAGCCATAGACTTAGACAACGTCCAGTTATAGTTGCATATCCACTGCCATATAAGTAATATTTACATAGCTATACGTTTCGGCTTGTACACGCACAAGTTTTCATTGCCAGTGACTGCATTTTAATTTTATTATATTAACTAGGCCCCACAAGTTTTTAATTTATTTTATCTTTTAATTTATTATGTTTTATTTTAAAGAGGCTTTAAGTTTGCAAATCGATTTTATTTCAAATTTAATTTAAACACCCAAACTACTTGTTTATGAATCTCCCATTTGTACAGTACTTATGCACCTATCTATTTATAAAATAAGTATTTCAATTAGCTGTATTTAATTATATAATTATACTCATTTGTACATAACAGCCATTTAATTAGGAATTTTATATATTTAAATTAACTTTACGATTTAATGTTCAAATAAATCATTTAAATAAAATACTTATTTTAATTTATGCATAAGTTGTGTACAGTTTCTTATTTTATCAGCTGCAATTTAAGTTTGTCACGAACTGTGTAGAACACAATTAAGAAACCAAATCCGATGCCATAAATTATATATAAATTTTAACATTATTAACAGACAGACAAAAAAGTTGTTATCCAACTTTGTAAAGATCTATGTTTTGTATTCAACCGAATCGGATTCGGGGGAAAACTTATCCAAATCGAAATATTTTATAGAAAAATATTTAATTATATTTGCCCTTTTTCTGCCGAGCTGAGAGTTTTCCGTCAGAATCAAACGCACTTTTTCGGTTTATATTTACAACACGTGATATATTCAAAAATAAACAAAATGAGTACATTAAGCACTAGGAGAACCGATTTTAGCAGTCGTCGTAGCACCCGGAAATCGCAGGTAGGTCCAGCTGCGATCACCTACGACATTTACTGCGTCAATTTCTACGACAATGGGCTCAAGGCAGTGCGTGAAGAGTTCATCAAGCAGATAAAGCTTGGCCTGCGACGATTCCTATTTGTGATCGATCTGGATACTGAGCTGGAAGACGCTCGCGTAGCCAACCAGCTGTCTACTCGTCTATCAAACAAGTTAAAAAAAGGTGAGCAAAGGATTTAACCCAACTCTATACCACTTTTTGGAGTTATTATTTGACATCAGATGTTCTGCCCACGAACCCTATGGAACTGACCTTGCTGCGCATACACGATTGTTTGGCTGAATATGACCTTGTGACCCGTCAGATTGAAGCGGAGCTCAGCTTTAACATGCTCAAGTATTATCAGAAGAATGTGCCAGCCCAGCTTAAGATACGTTCGGTTGATTCTAAAAAGGAAAAGTCATCTGGCATGGAATCCAAACGTCGTCCCGTTTCCAAGACAAAGGATACCACCGACACCAAGTCCTTGGGCAAGATCTCGTGCTTTGGCGTCAATGCCAAGGAACATCACAGAGTGGGCAAGGGTTACCCATTATCCAAGCGCTTGGTAAACCCAAAATGTAGTTTATTCTTTTTGGTAAACTAATCCTTACAAAACCTCAACTTCAGTATATTAAAGATGCGCCCTTGAATACGACAATACTAATTCTGATCATGGGTCGAATGGACAATGATTTCTACATGCAGCTGCTCGGGTAAGTTAAATTGCCCTTCATTGAAATAACTTTTAAAAATTTTAAAACACGATTGAGAAATCGAAAATATATGTGTATTTTGAAGGGAAATCAAACATTTGCCCAAGCCCATTTTCAAGCCGAAAGTGGGATTTTCTGATAACACCAGCGAACCAGCGACTTCTCGCTTGTTAGTCCGACGCTCACCTAAGCGAATCTTTTCTAAAAATATAGATTGTTTTTTTCCCCTGCAGAAATGCTCAGCCATTGCGCGGCGTGGTGTACTTTCTGCCCGAAGAATGTGCCTATGATTTTTGCATTTTCCAGCCGGAAGTGGAATTTTCTGATAACACCATCGAATCAGCGACTTTTCGCTTGTTAGTCCGACGCTCACCAAAGCGAATCTTTTCTAAAAATATAGATTGTTTTTTCCCCTGCAGAAATGCTCAGCCATTGCGCAGCGTTTTGCACTTTCTGCCCGAGGAATGCGTCTATGATTTTTCTATTTTCCAGCCGAAAGTGGGATTTTCTGATAACACCAGCGAGCCAGCGACTTCTCGCTGTCTAGTCCGACGCTCACCAAGGCGAATCTTTTATAAATATATCGATTGTTTTTTTCCCCTGCAGAAATGCTCAACCATTACGCGGCGTGGTGCACTTTCTGCCCGAGGAATGTGCCTATGATTTGCTGGTGCCACGCCCACGTCGTGAGAAGCAACTGCGCGAGACTATTGAGAAAATCCAACGTGACATTTATGGGCTGCGCAAGCGAGCGCTTACCAAGCCGGTGGGCATATTCCAACAACAGCTGCCACAGATGTCCCAGTGCCAGTCAGTTAAATATAGCAGCGAGATCTTTGATCAGCTCAGCTATTATATGTACGATATGCAAATGTTGCGGGAACAATACGATGAGTACTATGTGAAACCGTATCATGAGATCAATGTGAAAATGCGTGCGGACGCCAGCCTGCAGGACAGCCTTCAGATGGCAGAGTCGCTGAGCATTCAGGGACACTATCTAAAGGCTGAGATGCCGGCGGTGCACGATGACGATGCCAGCATCTATCTTTATATAGAATCGCTAATGTGCACATTCGGTAATCCGCGTGATCTGATGACCGAGATGGAGGTCCTGCTGCTTGCCAATCCCACGTCGTCTGTGCAAACGAGAGTGCTGGACAAGATAAAGGTCTATGCGAATGCCTTCAAGAGCATCATCAAGCTGGTGAAGACCGAACGTTTGTTTGTGGAGCAGGCCAATACGCTGCTCTGCAGCATTGTGAGCTATATGGATCAGGAAGCAATGCGAAATATCTATCATGCATGCTTGGAGTACAATGTGCTGCGTCGTTACTTCACCACGGGCTACATCTTAGATAAAATTAATCCTACGCCCTACAGTACGGATATAGAGCCGCAGCATTTGCCCAAATATGCTAAAGTGTATTTAACCGATGATTCCGTTAGTCAGCGCATTATCCAACTGATCACCGAGTATGACAATTATAATGTTAAGGAAATTTATCCAAAGGTCAAGCTCTATACATTCAAGCGTGCCCTCAATGAGGTATTCGAGAAAGAGCAACAGATTACCATACCGACGCGGCTTTGTTTTCGCGATTTTACGCTCTATGAGATGCAGCAGTTTCTGCAGGACTTGGTCACGCCCCAGATGTTTGAGACGGCCATCGAGGTGAAGCAGCAGGAAACGACGTCGGAATATCCCAGCATGTTTACGCTGGCCTCGGACGAGGAGGAGACAAAGCCGTACAGTTGCCCCAGCAATAGGCGTTATAGCATTACGCCCAGCGTCTTCATACGTCCCAAATCCTTGAAGGCCAAGAGGATATCGGAGCAGCAGCGGGAGCACGAGAAAAGGGAGAAGGTGTCACCGCGCCCGTCCAGGCTGCGCAGCAAGGAGAGCTTTCGAGTGACAAATAAATCGATGCGTAGCTTTAATATGCGCACCCCCAACAATTTAAAAGATGGCAGCGACCCTGAGAAGCCCACATTTATTGGACTGGGACCAGATCATTCCATGCTCACAGGCTACAATTTGGACGATGCGCGTCAAACGATCAAGGCGAAAACCTCGAAATATTACTTTGAGGAGGGTCTCATAACACTCTATGAGGAAAAGTGGAACTTTCGCCAGATGAACAAGTGCCTGTCCATTGAGATTGACAAGCAGACACTGCATCTGACCAATGAACCGGGCAAAATTGGAATTATAGCGTCAAATATACGTTTGCGTACACCCAATGGCATTAGCCTGCGTGTGAGACCAAAGGACGAGGAGTGCGCCAAGGCAGTACTCAATTATCCGAATGGACTGAGCCTCTATTGCCACGCTAACCATGCGGAGCATCTGTGGTCGGGTCAGCAGAGCGAACTCAATGAAAGTCGACGCATCAACACACCCTACGGCTGTGTCATAGTCTTCTATAACAATACTGATACGGTGATGATTATGCGCTATAATGGCGAGGTTTATCGTTTGTATAGCTATGTGGATGTCAAGGGCGAGGAGGAGGGCGAAACGGAGGATAATACAAGTTTTATAAATGCCTGCTCCACACAATCGACATACAGCAGCTATAAGCCGCTGCCGAAACGTAGCTTAAAAAAAAAGAGACACCCACGCAATACCATGTCGCAGACCAGTCGGACCATAGGCGGGGCCGACACGTTGGGCAGGAAAACGGCCAATCCGACGCACGACTCCAGTTCCATATCGTCGCAAACTCTGGCCGCACGCGCTGCCAAGGCGGAGGCACGTCAAATACAAATAGCCCAAGCGGCGGCGCTCTTTGCCAGCATCGATCCGGAACTGAAATATTTGGAGTTCATAATGCAGCTCTTCAATCTGAGCTATAAGCATCTGAAGCTAACCACCTCGTTGGGCAGCGTGGTGCATGTGGAGGAGAACAAGATACATTGTGGCAAGCCGATCCGTGTCACCGAATGGCATGATTATTTTGCTAACGAGAGCTATGCCATGCGTGATGATGGCATGCGCATGGTCTGGACACATAATAGTCTCCGATGTTATCACGGCGATGGCACTGTGATCACCACCACAATTGTGGATGGTTGGGATAAGGGCATTATCGAGGATGAGATTGATAAGCAAATCAGTTCCAGCAGCTCTCACATATTGCGTTTGCCGCAAAATGAGCCCGAATCAGAAGAAAGGGTAAGTCTTTCCCATATTAATCTGGGCGGCCCTAGATCAACGTTGGATACGTTTTTTATATAAATAAACAAGTTTCTAGTCGGGAGCTCGCGACTAGGGAATACCCAGAACCCTCTTATTGCAACACCAAAAGTAGCTCGAGCTACGCACTATTTTGCTTTAGTAGTAACAAAACTAAATCAAAAACAAGTAAGAGGTTCTAGTCGGGAGCTCCCGACTAGGGGATACCCTGAACCCTCTTCTTCCAACATCAAATGCATATATATATTCTATTTTAGAAGCTATATGTCAAGTTTGGTGACTCTAGCTCTTATTATTTACCAAAATTGCCCAAAAAACAGGATATCGATTTCGATTTTTATCGATTGCTTGGAAACAGAGTAAGTTATCGATTATCGGAAACAAACTCGATCTCCGCGGGAACTAGGAGCACCTACATCTAATTTCAAGTCTCTAGCTCTTATAGGTTCTGAGATCCTTGCGTTCATACATACGGACGGACGGACGGACGGACAGACAGACGGACATGGCTAGATCGACTCGGCTATTGATGCTGATCAAGAATATATATACTTTATGGGGTCGGAGATGCTTCCTTCTGTTTGTTACATACATTTGGATTTTGCACAAATACGATATACCCGTGTACCCATTTTTAATGGGTTCAGGGTATAAAAATTAAAGAAATCTTTGCGTTCATACATACGGACGGACGGACAGACAGATGGACAGACTGATTGATATAGCTAGATCATTATGATCAAGAATATATATACTCTGTTGTCTGTATACCTATTTCAAGAACTTTCCGCTTTAACTAGTTGAGAGTTACAAGCGTCGAGGCAGTAGAGAATTGCTTACAATTGTTCTATCATACATACATACTGTACAAATTGTCATATTAATTCAAAAACAAAACTACATTTCCTGAAATTAATCCCAGTATCCTAAGAGTAATCTTAATTGTTTATCCACAGAATGTTATATATATTAATGTGCCAGCAGGCTCATCTCTTATTGATGAAGTCTTCGAATCGAAGAAGTTCGAACAAAGGGAGCCGGATAAGTTCGATAAAAAGGAGCCTGAATATATAGAGGAAATACAGGTTGAGGATCAGCATATTTATGATTATAGCTTCACAACCCTTCAGCCGGATAGCTTTTTGATGCAGCACAAGACCTATGCTGGCACTCAATTCAACTTTACACACATCAACCATACGGACTTGGAGCTAGAGACAAAGGTCATTGCCGCTGATAATCTACAATTTCGAATTTATCAAGTGGCAAAAGATGAAACTCTGGTACAGAATGAATCGTCATATGGCGATGAAAGCCCCGAAAAGCCACCCGGTGAAGATCAATTTTCATCTGAAGCTGATGCAGACGAGTGGACCCGGTTAACTTATAAAATTCCATTACGCTTACCAACAATTATTCCGAAGCTGACATTAATCGTCGATATCGAAGCATCCAATCTTCAATTATCCATTCGGGAGGATCGCATCGAGCTAAATGCGAAGTTGCGAAAGTTTGGCTGCGATGAGAACGTCCTGGTGGTGCGGTAAGTTCGTGGTGTAGGCTGGGTCTTAGAGGGTTGCAAGCCATATTTTTGAAAGTCGACGGTTCAAACAACGATTTGGTTCATTTGAATTTTGGAAGACCTAAAAGTTAGGTGGTTCGGCTCACGGCTCAAAATATTGCCTTGGCTTTGCGTTGCGTTGGGTGAACATGGAACTTTTTTTTAAAACAATTTTTAATAGATCAATTAAATGTAAATTGAAATATTTTGAACTCTGACATATACATTTTAAGATTCTAGCTACTTTCCTTAATTTACAATCCATAGCGACAACATTCAGCTAAATGTGAACATGAAGAAGAGTCTGTCCACAGTCTTTACCGAATGGGTCGACGTGTTTCATAAGTTTATCAATTGCGCCTGCCCCAAATGGCGCACCGCTTACTTTGTGGAGTCCACCTTGAGCGATTGCCGCAGAAAGGGTAAATAAGTCAGGTAAAAAAAAACGCATATATATATCGTAATGCCGCCTAACTAGGTCTAGAGCTGCTTAAAACTGTGCCAACACTGGGTAAATATAATTTCTGTGCGGGCAACTATTTTATTGATCCGGAGGAGCTGAAAACTGTTAATGCACGCATGACCAGCAATATAACGTGGCAGAAGGAAGACATGGTTAAGTTTCCACGTTTTCCAGCTAAAAAGAAAGTCCCACAAATAATTCAATTTCCCACAGTACTGAGTACCAAGTGAGTAAACGAGAATTTCATATATTCTCGATATATCTACTTATCTAGACAACTTGAATAGACTATTTGTGGAAATACCAGCTCAATTGGCATACACAGATCGCATACACATGTTTATTTATCCATTCGAGAAAATCAAGTTTCGAAAATTAAAGCACCGATTCAACGAGTAAGATTCTATTTAAAAAAAAATTAACACCTGAAGAATTTATACTGAAAAATGTGTCCACCTTTTTTAGGGCCTTAATCTTTCATCTGTATCCGCATCTACGTGATCTTGTGCACAAGGAGATCAGCAATCGCAGTTGGCGCAATTATCATTTGGAGAACAAGCGTCGAGCATTTCTGGAACAGCAGCGCCTTAGCCTATATATTGCTATGCTTAAGCACAAAGTGTATCCCAATTACTTTCAGTTTAGGGATCAATATCACAGTCATGTGCGCAACATTGATTTCTTTGAGTTTATGGCCTCCAAATGCAGCGAGAAGAACAACCCGGAGCACTATCAAAATGCCAAAGATAATGAAGAGCCAGCAAATCGTGCCAAGGAACAGACCCAGGGCAAAGAACTAAAGGGTCGTCGCAAAAAGTGTTTGTGCCCCAGATACGAGAAATCCTTCAAATAGAACTCTTTTTGTGTTGCAAATAATATGAAGTGTAATAAATATTTTGAAAACACTCAACAACAAAATATACTATAAATGTATTTTTTCTTCTTTCGTTTCTTTTCATATTTTTCGGTTTGAAATATAATCTGCGCGCCTTTAGCAAATGACAATACGTTTACAATTGTCACACTTACGAATTTTAGTTTCATGCTCTTCATTGGCGCATTGTCTCACCCAAAATATAGAAATAGGTTTACTTACCTGTTTCATAAATATTCTTAGCAACGACTTTTAACGAATTTATATGTTTTTTTTTTAATGAAAATACCTGTGTTGAAAATGCTATCTTTCTTAATTTTCACGTTTTGGTTTGATAGTTTAAATTGCGCGCCTTTGTTGGGGTATGGTCACACTTGGGCTTATTAATACCACTACTAACCATACAATGTATGTTTAGTCACTAACCCAAAAAAACTATCGCAAAAACAGCTGATTTTATGGATGTCAATGGCTAAACATCGATAACAGCTGCTCTAAACGATAGGTTGACTCTTTTGCGCGCTCTCACTCTCTCACTGTGTGGTACGCTCATTCGCAGTTAATTTCTTGCGGCAAGCGGTTGTGTTCGCTTGTTGCTATTGACTGAGTCGCGCGCGTGTCTAGTTGTTGAATAAAAAAAACCCAAATAATATGAAGTGCACGCAATTGTTTTAATCGCCCACACAAACAAAATACGTCAAACCGAAACTAGTCGAAATACACGCAAAATGGCAACACCAACAGCAGCGGCGGAAGCAACAACAACAACAATAGCCAATGGCAACGCTGCGGGCGCTGCAGACTCCGCCAGCGGCGTCTATGCAGAGCAACTGCAACAGGAGAAGAGGCAGGAGCAGGAACGACAGCTAGAGCAAGCCGGCGAACCGAATGAGCTGACGGCTGTGCCGCGTTTCGGTTTGAAGCTGAAATTCGATCATGTTTGGCCAGAGAAACGCAATCAGAATTTGCGGCCATCGATAAAACAATCGCTGCCCATGGTGCCGCTCGTATGCAGGTGAGTCAACGTCGCAGTCGGCGTCGCGGTCGCTGCAGATGCTGCCGAGTGGACCGCGCTGTGTAAATAATTAAAATTAATTTAAGACACATAATGCGAAATCAATAGTAGGCCTAATATAGCCCGCATACACAGCAAGAACAACGCTGTTGGCTGCCCCGTGCCCCCTTGCCACAACCTGTGTCCGTGCCCGCGCGTGCCAAATATAGCGTCAGGTCCTGGCGACACACACACACACACACATGTAAATACCACACGCACACACACACACGCATATTCATAAATTGAATACTTTTGTTCGCTTGGCGCCAACTAAATGACATTAATTCGCCTGTAGCAAAGGCTTTACATTAGAGATGGCAGCAAAGTCGTGTCTGCAGGACACGATCATTACAAACACGAAAAGCACGAAAAAGTTGAGAAATCAAACGAAATATATGAGAATATTAAAGGCATTGTACAAGTTTAAAAAATCAAAGTATATACAGTCAAGTTTTTAAAATATTAAATATTACTTATAAATTATACAAGCTTTGAGTTTTTAAGGCAGTTTTGATTACAATACAAGGCACTTAAAATTAATTGACAACTAATTAGGATATACAAAATTTGACTTTAGTTTATGCTTATGGACATACTCGATGACATGTCACTTAAAATGTCATTTGAGCTCATACAGGCTACCAACTGGCAGTCTGTCTCTAGTACACACAGATGATAACAAACAATGCCTGACTTTTCTTTAACTATAGTTTTCATCTTTGCCTAGTCTAAAGTCTATGGTCTGCTCTGAAGAATTGATTGCCTCATGTGTGCGGCTTTGTTTGACTTCAATTGAAACTGTGTCCTTTGAAAAGAACCTTAATACCAGCACAGTGCTATATGGCTTACACAGTGGGCTTTGGCTTGTCGTAGGTGCCCGCGTGCCCCATTTTGGCGGCGCCACAAGTCAAATTGCCGCCCCCTTTTGTCTGCCCGCATTGGCGCCAACTTGGGCGCCCGGTTAGCGTGTCCTGGCCACATTTGAGGCAGTAACAAAACTATATAAAAAAAACCTGAAAATGTTTGTACTTTGTTTGCGTTGGCTTTTACAAACAGTCAACGTCAGGCACGAATTCTCAGCTGTTCCATTTATGGACTGCCAAGTAGGCAATCAGCGCAAAGCGAACTGACCTATCTGAAATGCACCCCAGCCGAAATCCCAGCCAGCCACCCATTCGCCTTAACCAGTGCAATGAACTCGCTTACAAACCTGCATTTGGGTCAGAGCTTCAGCATCTTGGGAACTGTCTATTAACTACAAACAAGAAGAGGCACACGGGAGCAACGGATACAAATTTGTACAGTGGTCGCTCGCTAAATTCAAAGTTAACAGTTTCTTGAGTCTGCTTATTAAATAAGTTAGATTCCTTGACTAAATTGCTTTGGTCTTGAGATCAATATTTGTTATTATTCGCACAAATTAATTTTCTTTTTTATTTACAAAAAAATTAATTAAGTAAGTTTTAGAAATTGTTTTTGAAAATTGTTCTTCGGGAATTATTAAAATTAAATCGGAGTATGATAAATTTAGACGTTATTAATTTTTCAGCAATCAAAAAAAATATATTCCTTTTATAAAAATAATTCTCTCTTTGCGAGCGAATACTGCATTTCTATTAAATTCCTTACATATTTTAGTTGGTACCTATACTTATCTCTTATTAAACAAATATTTGCCCTTGCCATATTGACAATTGTTTTGTTAATAAAAAAATCGTTTGTCACCTCCGTGCAACTTTTGCTATCTACCTAAGTACATATATTTACCATTCATACTTTTAGTATTTCAGTATGTATATAAAGAATTACAAATTAGGTATTGGTTGGTTTCTTCAAGTCTTAAAATAATTCGGTTGCCAGTTGTAGATATCAGAACATTGTGTCATTCTATACCTTATCCGAGAATGTGTAAAATACTACTTATTTAACCTTGCCAGCTTAATTAAATATATGTACGTACGTTCCACATATTTTAGTTGACATTTTTTATGGGATCTTATCGTATTTGTTGTTTATATAAAATGAGTTGTTGGAGCTGATTTTGCGTTCAAACATGAAAAACCAAAATCTTAGGATTACAGTGTTTTGTTAGCTGCATAAATTTTATATGCATCAGGAATTATCAGTTTGTTTCTATTTACTATACTTCCATCTTGGGTGCATCGGCTTGACAAGAGATGCAATGCGCTTTATCTACCTAGTTAATTAGAATTGTCAGACAAATCTACATGGCAAATTTTGGAGATGGTATATACATTCATATATACATTATATACTGACTGTAAATGAAGTTGCAATGAGGGCAAAATTAGCAAGCAACTTTATCAGGTACTTTGCAAAAGGGACCTAGACTCTTAGTTGTAGTTGTAATAATTGAAAATTCGAGGCACTAATTCTAAATTGTCCAAGAGACTTTTATGACTCAGTGTATTATAAATACTCGCCTTTGGTCAGAACTATTTTTCTCCTGAACATTGCAGACAACGCTGATTTCTTGGTTAGCAATAATCTAATCGCGACTACATTTCAGCTGTTCAATTTTTATGTTTGATAAAAAAAAGGCGTGAAAAGATTAGAAAAAGCTTTGCCATATGCGAATACATTTAATATATACTATACACGTGTCCAAGTTCCAAGTATAGCTAGCTGTGATAAGCCCTGAAATAGTGACCCAATTGGAAAAACTGCCGCACAGCTGCAAATTGAATGCGGGCTCACAGTAACAATTTCAGCACTTCAACATCTCAGCTATATCCGTTTCCTTATTGCCATTCCGCTCTGCGCACAATCAAAGATAGCATCAATTGCGTACATAAAGAAAGTAACGCGTCTGTCGTAAGACTCTCAGGCGCCAGAAGTACTGAATCCTTCATGCTGCTCGCATTTGATGCTTCTGTCACGCATAAAATGCCTTTGGCAAGCTACCAGGCGAGCATTTTATGGGACCTTCTCCCGTATTTACCAACCGCATTCCTGGTTGAATGCATCTGGCTGTAGCTTGTAAATGGATAATAAAGTTATTTTAATACCCTGTACCAGTTGAATTTGATTTGAAATTGAAATTTGAAACAGACAAAAGTAGACAGTCTTAAAGGTTGTCCAATATTAAGAGTCGATTCAATTGATCCATATCCATTTGTCTATCGATTTCAAGCAATATTCCATGTGCCTCTCGTAGATTCAGTTTTTTTGTGTTATCGATAACTTTGTTCGCCTCCATCCGAAGTTGTTAGATATCGATATTCAGCTTAGGGTTATTCGGGCAACATTGTCATGCCGCTATTAAATGTGATCGATAAGGCAGTATTGCCATTCCTCTATTTAATGTGATCGATAAGTTTATCGGACTTATCCAGAATTGATAACTATGGATTTCTAACTTCATGTTGTTAGGGCAACATTGGCATTCCTATTAGAACTAGCCTTGATATTTAGTATGTGTATATATTTAAATGCCATATTTACTTCCTGAATAGAAGCAATATTTATATATGTGAGCTATCTTTTATTGAATGTGTTAAGAATGTATTCCAAGTCCTTTCCGGGCAAAGGGCAACTCCTTGTTGGTCACTATCGACTGAAGCACTCCTGTTTTTTATTTGCTTCACCCTCTTTTTTTTTTGTCTGCACTCAAATCATGTGCTCATCGAGGCATTCAGGCTGCACTCCCAAAAGCACTTTTCATTATCGTTTTTCCATGTCAGGCATTTCATTTGACGCCTTCTAAAAACAACTAGAGCAACAACAAATCTTCTGTGTTCGTCTCCATAAAACTAAGGAAATTGTATTTCTTTTGCCGAGTTTTCGGCTTGTTTAGTTTTTCTGTTCAACGTTTTGTCAACTTGTCGCATTTTTGTTTATTTTTGGCTTTCCCTGGAAGAATTTTCTTCACTTTATTTTTTTTTCTGTCTGAAATTCCTGCATCTATGCACTGTGCATGCATCAGGGGATTTTATATTTATGGAATAGTTGATGTGTTGCATTAAAAATGCAACGAGAGATTTATATTAATTTCTGTACGGGATTTACGAGCTGCCAAAATTAAAACTTTCGAAATTAGTGTTGATGTGGATGTTGAGAGTTAATTAACAGGGCAAATATTTAAGAGAAACAAAATTTCGGCTGCTGTTGTGTAAAGTTTAGAACCTGTTTTTATTAAATTTTGCTGGAAAGTAGTAGGAGCCATAAATTATCATTACCATAAAAGTAGAGAGAATTATCCATGAAAGTAAATGTTTTCGTGGCATGTTTACGTAATCGAAAACTTTGCAAAAGATTTCATATGATTTCTCTTAAATCTCAATAAGATTAAAGATTGATTTTGCTTGACAAGAATTTTAAGGAATCTATCAAAGATTTTTTAAGATCGATCTCTACTCCTCCTTTTACATTTCGTAACATGCATGGTAAATATTTACCGTTTGATTGTAAATATTTGTTATTATATTATTTGTAAAATACAAATTCCTTAACAAATTTTAATAGTGGATTATTTATTTTATAGGTAACTTTTTTTTATTAAAACCTTCACGATATTTTAACCCAACTTGTATTTTCAAAAGTTTGACGCATTTTGTCTGCATTCTGCTGGATACATTTTGTATGGAATATTGTCACATCTTTCTCTCGGTCCGATTTCATCAGCTTTCGAAACTTGATTAGCATACATATTTGTTGCCCGAGTCCATTTCGCACGTATCTATTCCAAGTCCTGGACTGACATGAAAATAGATTTTTAATTGAATTGCAAGCTTGACAGCCAACCTAGCAGCGTCTACCCCTAATTCAGAAAACATGGACGGAAACAGTTTTTTATTTTCGCCACAGCAAAAAGTTTGCTATGCCAGTGGGGTTCAACGCGGGTCAAATGGGTGGGGTGGGGTGGGTTGGGGCGGACAGGTGCAACACAGGTAGGCAAATTGCTTGTGGCAAGTTACAAATGAAGTTGGTCATATTGT